CTTTAGGGTTTCCCACAGCGAGCAGCTACCTATTTGCTGCTACCTGCGTGGCAGCTGCTGCTGCTGCAACTGCTGCAGTTGCTGCTACTATTGCCGTTGCTGCTGCTGCTGCTGCTGTAGGGGATCCATATGCTCGCTTCTGCGACTTCAACAGCAACGAGTGCTTCGTCGTCTTGCCCCCAGCAGCAACAGCAGCAGCAGCTGCTGCTGCAGCAGGAGAACCTGCATGCAGCCCCAAGATAAAGCCCTGGAACAAATGGATAATCTATGAGCTGCACCCGTCTACCTTTGTTACTCCAGAGAAGGGCAAAACGTAGGCGCAGAGGGGCTAGGGTTTAGGGTTTAGGGTTTAGGGTTTTAGGGGTTGGGGGTTGCTGCGTTGGTTTAAGAATTCAGCTCTACAGTTTTTTACACTGTGTGGCATCTTAACGCTTATGGTTTAGGGTTTAGGGTTTAGGGTTTGTGGTGTTGCTGCAGCGTGTTTGAGGCGATCGCGGATAAAGTAGAGTACATTGCCTCCTTGGTGAGCTGCATGCACCCGAATACTTCTTTTGGGGTTTAGGGTTCAGGAAGGGTTTAGGGTTTAGGGTTTAGGGTTCAGAGAGGCTTTAGGGTTTAGGGTTTAGGGCTTTGGGGTTCACTGCCTCAGGTGTGCAAGTAGGGGTTTAAGGCTTGGGATTCAGGGTTTAGTTTGTTAAGTCTAGCATTCAAAAAATTGCAGGATCAGTGGTCTAGGGTTTAGGGTTTAGGGTTTAGGGTTTAGGGTTTAGGGTTTGTGCTTAGGGTTTCACAGCAATAGAGTTGATGCCCATACAAGAGTTTGGGGGGTTGTGGGGTTATAACCCTCGTCTGCTGCTGGCTGTTCATTCGCCTTATGGAAACCCTCAAACCCTCGAAGCCCTCGTTAGGTGCTGCCACAAGCACGACATTGCGGTCAGCTAGGGTTTAGGGTTTAGGGTTTAGGGTTTAGGGGTTGCAGGGTAGAGGGCTGCAGGTTGAGGATTGCCGCTGAGGCATCCCTACCCCTTCAGGGTCTAGGATCTAGGGTTTAGGGTTTAGGGACTATGGTTTAGCATTTAGGGTTTAGGGATTAGGGTTTAGGGTTTAGGGTTTAGGGTGTCTGCAGGTGATATTTGACTTGGTGCTCAACCATGGTTCTGCGAAGCTGAATTCGCTCTGGAATTGGGATGGGTATGCTGCTGCTGCTTCTGCTGCTGCTGCTGCTGTTTGTGATTTGCTGCTGATGCTTCTGTTGCTGCTGGTGTGTTGCTGCTACTCTTGCGGTTGGTTGCTACAATGCTCTCGCGTAGATTTGCTGCTGCTGTCGTTTTGCTGTTGCTGCTGCTGCTGCTATCCTTTTGCAGCAACCGCTGCTGTCTGTGGGGGCAGTGCACCACATGGGTGCGTATGCTGCAGCAGCAAGAGCAACAGCAGCAGCAGCAGCAGCAGGCTGCGCTGCATCGTGTGCCGCAGCAGATACGCAGCAACAGAGGCAACGAAGTAGACAGCGGCAAAGACATACAGAAACAGAGAGAGAGTTGCTGAAGTATAAACAATTACAACTACAATTATATTTATATTTATATTTATATTTATATTTATATTTATATTTATATTTGTGCTGCAGCTATGGACCCCACAACAACGGGGGTATTTACTTTGAAGGTGGGGAGGAGTCAGCATGGGGAAGAAAATTTTCTTTCGGCAAACCGCAGATAAGGAAGATGATTAAAGATGCTGCTGCAGCATTTATAGATGAATACAAGTAGGGCCTCCTGCTGCTGCTGCTGCTGCTGCTCCTGCTGCTGCTCCTGTTGCTGATGCTGATGCTGGTGGTGATGGTGCTGCTGCTGCTGATGGTAATAACGTTGCTGCGGCTGCCAGTAATGGTGCTGCTGCTGCTGCTGCTGCTGCTGCTGATGGTGGTTTTGGTGATGGTGATGCTGATGGTGATGA